GTAGCGAGGAGCCTGGGCGAGCAGAGCCCGGTGAGGAAGACTTCTCCCTGAAAGACGACCATCCAGACAGGGCCTGGGCACAGGACAGCCTCCAGGAGTGGGGAGGGGGTGGAGGACGCAGGCTCCTGGCACGACTGTGGCCACGTGGAGCCCTCCTGGGAACGTCGCGCTGGCACTCCTGGCTGCCCGAGTCCTCTCTCCCCAGCCTGTGACAGGTCCACCTTCCTGCGCCTGGGAGCCAGGGAGGACACACAGGTGATGCCACAGCTGGGGCAGATGCTCTTCTGCCTGACAGCCCGGTGCCCCGAGGAGTTTGAATCTTATGGCTGCTACTGTGGGCAAGAAGGGCGAGGCGAACCCAGGGACGCCCTGGACAGGTAGGTGCACGAGGGTGGCAGGCGATGGCGCCGATGCTGCCTGCAGGGAGAGGTGAGAGCCCTCCTCCACCTGGGCCGTCACTCGAGGTCCACAAAGAGCTTGCTGCCTGCCTTACCTCACTCGGGTGGCTCCTGACATCACGGGCCCATTTTCCGGGTGAGCAGCTGAGGCTTGGCCTCATCTGAGGTCATTCACCCACGAAGGGGCAGAGCCTGACAGACCAGCCCCTGGAGAGGGTCACTCTAAAGACATAGTGATGAGCGACAGAGAGGGTGGGTCTCATTGATGTGCATGACGAGAGGCCACACTGAAATCAGCTCCTCACCAAGGTTTACATTCTGGGCAATTGGAGTGACTTTCACTTTAGATGCCTGTGCAGTGCGCAACCTGAGCCGGCACGCGTGGAGCGCGTGGCGTGTAGGAGCCAGCCGTGCACACGGAAGGAGGCACTGGCTCTCACTGTGGAGGGTGCGGGAGAAGCAGGCCCTGAGGGGCTCCCGGGGCAGCTGGGCAGTAAAGGCTTCTCCTTGGTCGTAGGTGCTGCTGGTCCCACCACTGCTGCCTGCAGCAGGTGGGGAGGCTGGGCTGCTGGCGCGGGAGGCTTCCTCGGCCGCCGGTGGTGTGCACGGACGGTGCCCCCAAGTGTGAGTGCGTGGGCCTCCCGGTGGGTTATCCTCTCACCCGCTCAGCATCATGACCACACTCAGGCGTAGACGCTCTTTTTCATCCATCGCATGACCTAACACGTCTTCCCTCTGAGGCGCGTATTAGACCCCTAGTCCACTGAGGAGAGTCCAGTTCAGAGGTGATGTCCGCGCCCAGGGCACAGGGCTGGCCAGGTGCACACCGGGCCCGTTACACAAGCCGGGCGCATTGCGTGCTCACCGTGTGCCGTCTGCTCCAAGCTCCTGCTGTGTGAGCGAGTTCATCCTCACAACCGGCCAGGCCAGAGCACCAGGAGGCGCCCCAGGTCACACAGGCAGTCAGTGCTGAGCTGGATCGGGACCTAAGACCCCACTGCCTCCGACCTCCAGCCGAGGCTTCACCAGGCCCGTGGGCCCCTTTTCCCGGGTGACATCTCCCGAGGGGCCCCGTCAGGATGGTGGCCCTGGCTGAAGGGCCAGGTAGGCTGCAGCTCCACTCCTCTCTCTCCTGGAGGCTCCTCTGTGGCTGCTCAGGGCCTCAGGCAGGATGGCTGGAAACTGCCACCGCCCCCTCTGCACATCACTCTTACAGCAGAGCGAGGGTTAGCACTGGGCCATTAGTCCCCTCCCCCTCCTGCATGCACCTCCTTGTAGGATCATGCGTGCCTCTCACTTGCCGGGAGCGCCATCCCTTCAATTTTCTACTTACCCAACAAACCTTCATTGGTAACTAGGAAACAGCATGCAGGATCCCTGCCTCAAGTCCCTCAGAGTCTAGACCAGTGATGGCGAACCTTTTGAGCTCGGCGTGTCAGCATTTTGAAAAACCCTAACTTAACTCTGGTGCTGTGTCACATATAGAAATTTTTTGATATTTGCAACCATAGTAAAACAAAGATTTATATTTTTGATATTTATTTTATATATTTAAATGCCATTTAACAAAGAAAAATCAACCAAAAAAACGAGTTCGCGTGTCACTTATGACACGCGTGTCATAGGTTCGCCATCACTGGTCTAGAGGGAAGAGAGACAAGTCAGTGACTCCCCTAATCTCAGGCCATACCTGCTAACAGGAGGTGGAGCCTGGAGAGTCTGGCAGTGAGGACGGGAGAAGTCAGGAGAGCAGTGAGGTGAGATCTCAGGTTTCCGAAGGCCATGCTGGTGTGGATGTTCCAAGGAAAGGGAAAGGAAAACCGAGGCATTTTGGGGACTCCTGGCAGCACAGGGTCAGCATATGGTTCTGTCTGGCCAGCAGAGAGAGTGGGGGTGGGGAGACTGCTGAGGGGGAAGGTGAGGCTGGGAGATAGACAGGTACCAGATCAGGAACGCAGACTGAAACACTGACATTCTGTCCTATAGCGGACCGGGGGCTGAGAGTGGGTTGAGAGCCCATGGGTGACAGATCAGAGTACTATTGTCGTGATATGCAACCACGCCGTGAGGTCTCGTGTGCCCAGCTGAAGGCTCGCAGAATCCAGGGATGTTGTATGTGCAGCTCGAACTCCCACAGAGCTTTAGGGATCCGGTCCCAACCCTGTGAGCTCTGAGCTCAGTGTCCCATACCTGGTGCAGGTGGCAGGCGCTGGGAGGGCACCCTGGAGCCTGCCCTGTCGTCCTGACACTGGGATTGGGGGGAAGGGCCGAGGGCTCCAGGAAGCAGGCTTGTGTGCGTCCACTCTGCTCCTCTTTTCCACCTGCTGCTGAAATGACATGTGTGCCTGGGCTGCTGGGAAAGCCAGTGCCTGAGACTTGGAGGGTTGGTGTAACGAGAGTATTTCCAGTGGCGGCATCAGTGCGCGCTGGACGTCCAGAGGTTCAAGAGGGGGATGGAGGCCACCTGGGGGCTCCATCTCCGTGGTCCCATGGCCCAGGGTGCTACTCTGTTCTCGCCCTCAAAGGTGTGGGCCAGAGCCTGTGCGAGAAGCTGCTCTGTGCCTGTGAGCAGACGGCGGCTGAGTGCATGGCATCGGCCTTCTTTAACCAGAGCCTCAAGTCGTCGGGCAGACAAGAGTGCCAGGGCCCCCAGCGCCCCTGCGAGGACGGAGGGCAAGGAGGGCTTCCGGCGTCCTCCCTGGGCTCCAGCTCCGAGGAGAACAGCGCGGAGGCCCTGCCCCCCACCGCACACCTGAGAACCAGGAGATTTCTGGGGAGGTCACTTGGTCCCGTGGGAGCCAGGCCACAACCTGGCCCCAGATAGAGCCCCGGAGAAAATGCCAAGCACACCTGCTCCCAGGCGCCTTGGGGCCTGAGCCGCCTCTCGGTCCTCCTCTGAGCAGAGGCTGGGGACAGAGGACCGTGGTGCTCCCAGCTCCCCTGGGAATGCCATCCGCAGGAGGCAGCGCAGGTGTGGCTCCACTTCCTGCAGCACACGATGGAGGTGCAATAAATATCCAATCAGTGCTTTTTCTCCCCTTGGTTTTGTGTGTTTTTAAGAAATGTAGGTACTGGTGCATGAATAGATTGCAAAGGTGAGAGGACAGAGACAATGGGAGGGGGAGGGGGGAGTCTATTCCCTAATCACTGGAAGCTAATTTTCTTCTATTAAAAAAGAATAGAAGGGAGTGTATGTAGTCAGCCAGTCTTATGAGGTCACCTAGGAGTCATCAATAACTCACCGAAGATGTACGCCAAGGGCTGAGATGACAGCACTTTTGGTCCGTGCCCTAAAAACACACCTGCCATCCTAGTTACTAGGAGAGGGGGCATGTGTCTCCCCCTCCCCCACGACGAAGAATCACCACTCACCCCGTCTTGGTCCTGGGCTTGTTTTCACAAATGAGGGTTTATCCCAGTGGCTGGAAGGCCAGGAATGAAGCACCACTCTAGACACACGCAGATTCTGTAAAAAACGGAACTATACCCCCCCACCTACTAGCTGAGATTTATTCTCTACCAGACTAAAGGCATCCCATCTTTAACCCTTGGCGGTCCAATTTTATTTTTGGAATTCAAACAGTCTGGTCCAAATTAATTGAATGTTGAACCGGTTTGCGGTGTCGACCTCAGCCTCGACGTTGGACCTGCTCCTAGCGCCTGGTCTGTCGAGTCAGCCTCGACGTTGCACCGAAAAGGGTTAAAAATCCCTTCATCGACCCATTAAGCAAGATGGGGGGGCGGGAGGGCGGTATTTGAAATAACCGCGTGCTTCCACGTTTAGTCCTGTCCTTAAGGATCAGACGAGGTGGTGCCACACTGGACGTCTTTTGCCAGCTCCACGCCGTCTGGTCCCACCTCTTGCTCCAGACCAGTGATGGCGAACCTATGACATGCGTGTCAGAAGTGACACGCGAACTCATATTTTTGGTTGATTTTTCTTTGTTAAATGACATTTAAATATATAAAATAAATATCAAAAATATAAGTCTTTGTTTTACTATGGTTGCAAATATCAAAAAATTTCTATATGTGACACGGCACCAGAGTTAAGTTAGGGTTTTTCAAAATGCTGACATGCCAAGCTCAAAAGGTTCGCCATCACTGCTCCAGACACTGCTGTGACACCCAGTTCCTGAGGCTCTGACCGGCCACACTGGGCGGTGGGGTCTGACAAGGCCCACCACACCTCCTACCTGCTGGCCACACCTCCTACCTTCTCTGATGAGGCGTGGGGCCCCTTGGAAACTGTTCCGCATCAGGCACACGCAATCCAGAGATGTGGGGGAGTTCACGCCAACAGGGCCTTGACCATGAGTAGAAGCCAAAGGCTACACGCTGCCCTGCCTGCCATCGCCTGGTGGACCGGCCTGAGCTCTCCTCCTGAGACGCCTTAGACTGTTGCGGAGGCTGGATCTGGCCAAGTCATCGGAGAATCCTCTTCACCAGCCCTTTCTCCATTTCAGAGGTTCCCTGGGATCACGCCCAGAGAAACCCCTGCCCGTGAGCCTGCCTTCGGCTCTGCTGTAGGAGAACCCAGACTAGGACAGGGCCCCCTACAGGCCGCCTCTGACTCAAAGTGCAAGTCAAAGGCAAACAGAAAACGAAGAGGCCGACTTTGGTGCTCGTTTTCCTGCTTTTTCATTCGTGTGAACTTGGTACTTGAGGTTAGTAATTTATCAGATGACAGACTAGTAACAGGATCCAACAAGTTAAAGCTGGAAGGAAAGCACATGAGATAGCAAACCATCCCGACTGCTCATCTCACACCTAAACAACAGGTTCCAAGCGTGGGGGGACTGGCCTGAGTCCACAGGATGGAGGCAGCTGCCAGGGGCTCAGGCCGCTCTGCCAACTGGAGGAGGAGCAGTAATGAACATACACATGCCCTGACGGTGGGCTTTACTCCCCATCATGTTCCAGATGAGGACTTCAAAGCCCCAAGGGCAGTCCCTTGCCTACAGCCCTTAGACAGGCAGTGGCAGGGGCGGGTTCCAGCCCAGAGCCCTGCTGCCCTGCTTTGCTGCAGCCTAAAGGAAGTCCCTGCAGTCAGCAGGGTGGGGAGGTCCCAGAGGAGCTGCTATTTTACAGGGAGACTCCCAGTAATTTATGCAGCAAGGAGGCGGGGCTGAAAGGAACCCGAAGACCTAGCAGAGAAGCAGCTGTGCTTCCCCATGTCCCGCTCACGGGTGACCTTCACCTCGGCCACACCTCCCTACAACCAGCCTTCACTCACGGGTCTGAGACTCCCAGTGGGTGTGAGGAGGAATCCACTCGGCAACCTGACTTTCACTAAAAATTCTCATTTTAGCTACAGCAACATATTGAATAAACGTATTTAGTAAATGTAAAAATAGCCATTATAAAAATGTACTTAGGCACCAATATTTTGATTTTGTTTTATTGCTCACATATGAATTGCAGAGTGGATTTTTACATTTCAAAAAGCTCACTTCGTTACACTGACAACATATATTGCCATGAATAAAACAAACGAGTTCCATTTTCAGACAGGAAGAGAAGGGCTATTCTGAGGAGGGAAGTTAACCACTGGTAAAGTGTGGCATTACTGTAAAAGAGAATGGGTTCAGAATTATTAAGGGTGCGTGCGTGTGCGTGTGTGCATGTATATGTGCCTGTGTGTGCGCGTGCACACGTGTCTGACTAACTTCAATGACAACGAACTCTGAGCAGAGACAACACAAGCATAGGAGGAACATTTAAATGTTAACTATTCAATGTCAAGAAAATATGATATAAGCAACTGTCTACAGCAAAAAAGTGATAACAGTTTATAAGAATTTTCAGTATCTACAAAAATATAGCCATACAGTGCCCGTCAACCAATCCCACACTCGCCGCCGCAGGCCCAGCTACAACACAGTACGCACCCCCCCTGCAGGAGCTCCTGAAGGCACAGGCCACAGGGCAGACCCGCTTCCAGGGAATCCTCGGCAACAAGACCAGCTCACTAACCGAGGGCACACAGAAGTCTACTGGGATTTAAAAACAAAACAAAACAAAACCCCTACAGAACAACCCAGTTCAACAGTTTACACACAGACCAGGAGAAGGCGATAAGCATGAACGGAAGTGGTTGTCCTGTCCATGCAACACGCACCGACCACGCCGAGACCTGGGATCCTTGGAGCAGGAGTGCAAACGAGTACATGTCTTCCTTTCCTAGACTCTCACATGACACGCTCCCACACAGAAGCACACAGTGCTCACCTGTAAAGTGACACCCGAGTGGATGGGGATTGTTTCTGCATGTCCCCCTGCTCTGACTTTCAAATGCACTGTCAACAATTAAGATCCTTCTTTAAAAATACAGAAGAAAAAAAGAAAATTAAAAAGACACAAAATTTGGCTTCTTAAATGGTGACGCATTTTAGCTGATCAAGAGGCAAATACAGTGACAGCTGCTATAGGATCACGACGCCCTCGGTGACCGCACTGTTACGCAGAAAACTAGGGCTTCTTCATGGACGTGTACTACAGCGGCCAGGACGTCGAGTGTCGTTTTAGAGGTTCAATGACTTCTATCTCTTGCAAAGTGCTTTAAGATGCTGTACTTTGGTTCATATGTTGAAAAAAGTTTGAGCATGCTTCTTTACTTTTTCTGTTTCTACTACATGTGCCCAGATAATCATAAACCAAAGGTGTAGCATGCCGCTCTTCACTGCAATTTTACAAACAAAAGCCAAAACCAAAACTGGTTTTTCAGTCACAATTTTTAATATGTGTATTTTTTATGTAAAAAGAAATAAAATTAAAAAAGGTAGAACTATAAACAAGTTATGTTATATAAATGTCCTAGGAGAATGTTGTAAGACTTGCAAAGACAATTGTTCATTTTGCCATGTAGTGGACTCACTGAAATGTATGTGGCTTTAAGACGATACCATGGGTCGGTCAGCAGGTGAGTAGAGTGTGAGTACACATCACCTTGGTGGCTTAAACCGACAGAAGCTTACATGACAATCCTTAGCACACTTGATTGCTAAAACCATAGGCACCCGTTAAATGTAATATAACAAACCCTAAACGCATATGTAATATAACAAACCTTGAACACAAATGCATACAAGCTACAGTTCAAATCCTACAAATTAAAGTCTGTTTTGGTAATTTTCTGACTATGATGATTAAAAACAATGAACAATATAAAAATGTAAATTAATGTGCTCTTAATAAAAATCAAAATGTGTACTCTTCACAGATGAACTAGTAACTGTTTTAAATGTCTTTTTTATACTAAATATATATATATATCTCATTTAATTAATTGAGCCACAGCAAAATACTACTATAATTTCAAAGCACAGTCTGTAAACTAATACATCTTATGATGTAAAAAATATTGCACAGTTCGGTATCTGGAGAGCAAGCTCTAAGCCTCTCACGTAGAATGATCAAACTCTCGGCAGAAGATACAGTATTACAAGAACCAGACACTTTAAAGTATGGCGACTGATTTAGGGTCATATTCTAGGCATATTATTCAACAAACGTCACTACCATAAACAAGCGGAGGAACGCCTATTGCACGTATCCCGGTAAGTGAACGAAGAGACGCCTGTCGCAACATTGGAAACACAGGAACAAAAGCCTCAGGCAGTCAGCAGCCCAGGACTAGCGTACTAGCATGTTTTCGCTTTTGCAGATAACCAAAACTAAAGCAAAAATCCTAAACAGTTGTGTAGATGTTTAAGAAATACAAGAGACACTTCATAGTCTTTCAACCCTCAAAGGCCTAATTTTCAAAAAAAAAAAAAAAAAACATGTTTGAGAAAAGTTTAAAATATACTGTTTAACAATGAAATAATGTTGAGACCAATACATGCTAAACTTTAAAGCCAACAGGAACCTCAAAAGAAATTAGTATGGCATAAATCTATCTTCAAAAG